AAGTCTCATCGTATAATTATACCACTCTTTCAATGCTCTAACATTTCTACATAAGAGAAAAAAATTGATTATGAACTCAATTTAAATAACAGATACACATTACCTTTGATATTAAATCAATCTTCGTTCCAACAACAATGACATTTTGTATTATACTTCCCAAATCTTGGCCAACTTTAGTTGTATGTGAATGTACTAAATTCATACATCCGTGAATATACTCTGAGAAAATCAAACAAAGGTTACAAATTATATGTATAAATGCCTCAGAAAATAATTAACCAACATCATGAGTGTGTGTTAGGTTCGTGTGTAATTATGAAGCAAATACCAGTACCTGAAAAAAAACAATTAATTTAAAAAAAAAAATTTTTAGGAAAAACAAATAACATAATTATTGATTTTTGTTTCTTTATATTTAAAAAGTGAATTTACCACAAGTAAAATGTGTTTATTAAAATATTTGAAATATATAAAAAACAAGTCATTGTCAATGACACGTCCTGTTCCGTTCATATTTGAGTGACATATACATTCAAAGCAGCAACAATATGGATAGCCACCAGTCAGCCATTTTCAACACAATCCAAAAAAAAATTTAAACTAAATTTGCCCACACATGACTAAGATTCAGTTCTGGTATGGTAAAAATCAAGCTTATATTATATTTAATATACGCACAAAATCTGAACAAAATCCATCCATGCATGACTGAGATCCGGTTCCGGAATTGTGAAATATGAAAATATGTTGCATTAAAATGGCCATCATTCAGCTATTGTTAAGCGGATCATGAAACAAATGCACATATCTATTTGTGACATGATGTACCATGTGTGTGTGAAGTTTGAACTTGATCAATCCAGACATGTTTCGGATACGGATCCAGAACTGAATTGTTTAAAACAAAATGGCCGCCAGTCGGTCCTATTATGTTTAATATATGTACCAAATTTGAACAAAATCCGTCTATGCATAACTGAGATCCGGGTCCGGAATGGTGAAAATGTGCGATTTTGATGCATTTTCGGCATTAAAATGGCGGCTATTCGGCTATCGTTAATCGGATCATGAAAACAATGCATGTGCATATGTCCCATATAATGTGTGATGTATGACTGAAGTTTGAACTTAATCGGTCCATGCATGTTCGAGGTACAGGTGATCACGGACACACGGATGCACGGACGCACACAGGGCAAAACATAAGTCCCCGTTTTCGGACTACGTCCGAACGGGAACTAACAAGCAATCTTGCGGTCGGTATAGCTGCACTGTAATTGACAAGTGCACAGGGTGGTGGCAGTTACTATTAGGATACAATAAGTACCTTGTAGAATTTATGACAGTTTAGTAATTGCGGTAATGGTCACTGGAAGGGAATATCCTGTAAGAGGAAACATATTTGTGTATGTAATGTATGGATATGTTAATGATGTGGGTTTACAGGAAATTAAAGCTGAAACATGAAGTTGTTGTCACTATTACCAGAAAATATTTTTGAATTATTTGGTTACTATACATGTAACTGAATTGAGAATGACAAAGTTAGACAATATGACAAAGTGACGTCCTGAGATGACCTTGGCCTTTCCTTGAAAGATCTTGATGGAGAGGTGATTCCTGACCCCCAATACAGATGTAATCAACATGTGACCTAGGGATGACCCTGACCCGGGGCCTTGAGATGACCCTGACCCAACCTTGAAGATTTTAGGGAGGTGTTTCAGTCCCTTCCACCCTCACTGTTCGGTATTACCCATATAAAAACAACAAACGTATAAACCTTGAAATGACCTTGACCTGAACTTAAGCATTTCTAGAAAATATTGGCCCATCTAGTTCATTTTTCAAGACAAAGTGTACTAAATCTGAGTGCAAACCATGTCAACAACATTTATGCAATATGGCATGTATGTAAATGTGTCGAAATGGGCGTGGTGCGATTAGTGCTAGTAGCACTAATCCGAAAAAGTACTAGATCTAGTGCTAAAATGGCACTAGATCTAGCGCTAAAATGGCACTAGATCTAGTGCTAAAATGTGCACAGTGTGAGTGGCATTGTTATAGCATTGTCAACGACGTCGAATAATAGGAGGGGCATCAACAACCAATTTCATATGCAAACTACAAACAGTGTAAAACATCGGCAATATGCGCGAGATGTCCATAATAATACTTTCTTTATATAATACCGGATTCTGCCGTAAATTCGCCCATCCGAAAAATCAAATATTTTTGGGGGACTTCCATTTCCATTGAAGTATCCAACTACGAAGACTTGCAACGCCGTCAGTTGGGCCACCCAAGACGAAAGAAACTATTGCCGAATTAACAATAATTAATAATTCTTGGTGAAATAAAAAGTAAACTGCCTGAAATGTCATTACAATGTCGCCCAGTGTCATTTTTCAAATACATTTGTTTTTATTTTATTGGTAACAAAAGTATATTTTAAACCATGGAGGTAAAAGGCCTTTTTTACCTCCATGCTTAAACGAAGTTTCAAATAAAAACGAAAAACACAGTTGCGCAATCCGGTCATACTGCGTTTCACAATTGCTGAATATTACTCGGCAGTTATTATAATAACGCACAAAAAATAAATTGGTTGAATTTAGTTTCATCATAAACAAATGATTCTGATCGCATATAAACGTTTGATGCTGTAGGGTATCAGCCATGTTTCTCTTGCATGAGTTGCGCTAATAGGTCAAATCGCTTATTAACCAATCAAAATGCTGGAGGATGCCAACGTGTTCAAGTCACCATAGCTCATTTAAATATGTTAATAATATTGAACGCAACGCAGAAAATATTTGCCAATGTTGTAGTACGATCTTTTGACTTGGATTTTGATGGGAAAAAAATAGTTGTTTTCATAAGATGAACTGAGAAGAATAATTTAACATTGTTTACAGTGATGACAGCTTTGTCCAAACGAAGCTTACCAATTCACGCTAGTAACATCAAACACGCTCTTGAATAAAAACCTAAATAGACTATTTTAAGCGTCATGAAAGATTGAAATATCCAAAAAATTACGCCAAAATATTAAAAAAAACACAACTTTAAAAACTGCCAAAAAATCTAAAATTTAACGTGACCATAAAATATATGCGCATTATGAAACTACGGTCATCACATATGCGCACTGGGTTTGTTTAGCTGTGAAGGGTTAAAATAGCATTTCACAACCGGAAATTCAACAGACAAACTTGTTACTTCACAGATTTCACATGTTTTAATTATTTGCAACTGTAACAAAAACAAGATTTTGAGAGACTACAAGAAAAAATCCTACGGACTCCTAAAAACATTATTGCGGAGAAAGCGTCTGGACATATATTATATGGTCACATTAAAAAATCGGCGAGGTTATATCATATTCGGCAAACTGGTTACTTGTGTAAGCAATTGCAAACTATCATCGACATCAAAGATGAGCTACACAATGTCCTTATTAGGATTAAAGAGAATAAACCACTTAAGAGACTTAAATGGCCACTTGAGAGGCGTTGTGGCTCCTTTCGTTAGTACACCCATGGTACAATGTAACAACAGGATTGCGTGAATCCACTTTTACCATTGGTTGATTATGTCCGCAAAGGTCAATGTCATGAGAACCAGACAACGGTACATTTACAGTCTAGTTCCCAGGGGTACTGAGCAACAATCCCATTCACAGGTCGCCGTACACACAAAATCTACCGAGCTTTACAGGGACCCGGGACTTAGACTAGGAGTATACACATTTTTTATTTAGTTCAAAATTGGCATCATAATTTCATTGAAGATCTATTTTCATTAAGTGTGGCGTTGACTAGAAATAAAACGTCACGTCAGCGATTTAAAAACAAATCAACGCTGAATTCTATCATTCATATACAAGTTACAAGTTTACATACGCCAAAGTTGAAAACATAAACTTCCACACAATACCATTTCATACATTGTTTCTATTCACAATTTGTAAAAATTGCGAAGTTTGACCCGCAGTTTCACTGTCCATGGAGCTAGTTTCCCGGCCGATCCCATAATTTAAAAGGTCTATTACGACAACCGTAGACAATGACATTCATGTACATTCTCATTTTTTCCACTGTAGCACATTTCCATTGAATGAAAGATACAATTTTACGTAAATATTCATTTATCATCAGACAATTATGAGATGTCTTGACGTCGTTGACAACAGATATCAATGCCACTCGCACTATGTACATTTTAGCAATAGATCTAGTGCCATTTTAGCACTAGATCTAGTACTTTTTCGAATAGAAGATATCATCACAAAATGAACAAATCTGAGAGAGGTCCACATGTAGTACCTATATATGTAATATCAAAGCAATCGGATTTAAAGTTTTTAACAAGAAGTCGAAAATATCACTTTTTACCAAAAATTACAAAAATATTCACCAAAATTAGAGAATTGAAGATATCATCACAAAATGAACAAATCTGAGAGAGATCCACATGTAGTACCAATATATGTAATATCAAAGCAATCGGACTTACAGTTTTTAACAAGAAGTCGAAAATATCACTTTTTACCAAAAATGCCAAAAATATTCACCAAAATTAGAGAATTGAAGATATCATCACGCAATGAACAAATCTGAGAAAGGTCTACATGTAGTATCTATATATGTAATATCAAAGCAATTGAACTATTGGTTTTTAACAAGAAGTCGAAAATATCACTTTTTACCAAAAATTACAAAAATATTCACCAAAATT